AGGTAAGTGTGTATTTTTTCTTAAAGTAAAGCCACATCGGGCTATCTCTCGTGTCCACCGAGAGGAATCGAACCGCTGATTTTTGCGTTGTAAATCCGTAGACTTACTGCTTTCCCAGCGTGGGATAGCGAGGTAATACTTGTTGGTTGGTTTATGGTTTCACGTCAATAGTTTCATGGAAATATTTCCGTAAGATATTAATGGAATATAAGTTTGAAATTTATTGTATAACTTATTACAACCATCAGGATTCTAGGCCATATGAGAATAAGTTTTGAGACTTGACATAAAGGAGGTCTGATATCCGTACAAAAACTTATTATCATATTCTCGGTGTCATATTGCTGTTACCAAACCATATTTGTCAAATGTTTATTTGTTTGTAATTAAGCACAAAGCTGCAACATGGGTTATCTGTGCTTTGTCTACCACGGATATTGCAACCCGCATTCTAGAATTGAAAGTCCGCATTTGTGCCACTGAGGGGGCAAAAAAGCTGTTTGTTTGAAACTAAGCACAAAGCTACATAATGGGCTATCTGTGATTTGCCCACCACGGGTATCTAAACCAGGTTTCTAGCGTTGTAAGTCCGCAGACATCCCGCTGTGCCACTGGGGGGCGGCGAGTCACTCGGAATTTCACCTATTTAAGTAAATAAACTGGAACTCAAAGTAAAGAGTATAAGTATCAGAGTTAGAAAAACCAATTTAGTATTAAACCAAAACCTTACCACCTAAAGAACTAGTTTTAATGTGCTTTCTCAACTGTTCGCATAATTACTTTCTGATCGAAGAAACTGGCATTTCTGGCGTAAATGTTATCACTTTAAATCAAATAAAATACTTCTAACATTTTAAACACGTTAAAAATACTTCGTCACTAGTTGAAATCGGTTCTTCACAATTTTTTACAGAGTTGTTCGCAATGAATTATGCATCAGACATTGAATTACATAAGAATGTTTAGAAGTGTGACCCCAGGAAAGTAAATTTAGCATTTCAATACTTTTGAAACGATCAAAATTGATTCTACAGAGTCATGGAATCAAGGAAAAATATTTTTATATAAATGTACCATAAATTTACTATGGGCTGGTAGATATTGCTACACTGTACATACTATTTGAACTAAATTATTATATTTCTGTTATAATTTGCATATATATGTATATATATATGAGTTTATTTTTTGTAATTTGTATGTTTTATTCATTAGGTAAACGCCACCAGGAGGAGCTTGGTCATACCATGGCTTCTAAAGAGGCACATTTTAAAAAATAAACGTGTTATTGTGTTTTTCTTTTTTCTCAAATGACGAACTCTGCCAAATAGAAATATTAAATTCTCATTAGCTGATTGTCGACCCCTTACATTAAATGTTATTGATCATTTGTTTCCATCTCAAATTTATTGTGATAGATATGTAAAACGTTTTTCTTCTAAAAGGAAGACAAATGTTGAAATGTTCCTCTGCTCATTTCAACCCTCGGAAACTAAGACAACTAGATTTTATTAAACCCACGCTTTCAGCCAGATTCCTGTTAAATAATTCATTTTGCCAACAATACATTACACGGCTTTTAAAACTTTTGATTAATGTTTTCAAATATTTAAACTCCTTTGTTAAATTTAACAGTGAACTTTCTTTCGAAACTAACTTTGTTGCTCATAAAAACTATGTTCCAAAGTTTGTTGATTAAAAAGTAAAATATGCTTTACATGAAACAATAAAAAATTTACTCATAATTTGCGCATAAAATAAGTAATATATAAAAAAACGATATATTTTATGTTTAAAATCTAATTCAAATATGTGTACATCAAACAACTCTACAATAGCGTAATTTCTGACGGATCATCTTTTGATATGGTGCTACGCAAAATATTAGCTAAGAACTCTACAATAGTGTAATTTCTGACGAATGAGCTTTTGATACGATGCTACGCAAAATATTAGCTAAGAACTCTACAATAGTGTAATTTCTGACGAATCAGCTTTTGATATGGTGCTACGCAAAATATTAGCTAAGAACTCTACAATAGTGTAATTTCTGACGAATCAGCTTTTGATATGGT